TTGGGTCAGTTCAGTGCAGTCATTCAGTCCTGTCCAACTCTTTGCAACCCCAGGGACTGCAGCACACCACGCTTCCTTGTCCATCACCAACTTCCGGAGCTTGCTCAAACTCATGTCCATTGAGTCAGTGATGCCATCCAACCATCTCATCCTCTGCTGTCCCCTTCTCCTCCTGCTTTCAATCTTTCCCAGCATCAGAGTCTTTTCAAATGAGTCAGTTCTTTGTATGAGGTGACCAAAGTATTGGAGCTTCAGCTTCAGCATCAGTCCCTCTAATGACTATTTAGGACTGATCTCGTTTAGGATGGACTGGTTGGATCTCCTTGCAGTCCAACGGACTCTCAAGAGTCTTCTCCAACACCACAGTTCAAAAGCACCAATTCTTCAGCACTCAGCTTTCTTTACAGTCCAAATCTCACATCCATATGACTACTGGAAAAACCATAGCCTGGACTAGATGGACTTTTGTTGGCAAAGTAACGTCTCTGCTTTTTAATATGCTGTCTAGGTTGGTCGTTAACTTTTTTCCCAAGGAGTAAGCGTCTTTTAATTTCATGGTTGTAGTCACCATCTGCAGTGATTTTGGAGCCCCCCAAAATAAAGTCTGACACTGTTTCCACTGTTTCTCCATTTGCCATGAAGTGACAGGACCAGATGTCATGATCTTAGTTTTCTGAATGTTGAGCTTTAAGCCAACTTCTTCACTCTCCTCTTTCACTTTCATCAAGAGGCTCTTTAGTTCTTCACTTTCTGCCATAAGGGTGGTGTCATCTGCATATCTGAGGTTATTGATATTTCTCCCAGCAATCTTGATTCCAGCTTGTGCTTCATCCAGCCCAGCATTTCTCATGATGTATTCTGCATATAAGTTAAGTAAGTATGGTGACAATATTCAGCCTTGATGTACTCCTTTTCCTATTTGGAACCAGTCTGTTGTTCCATGTCCAGTTCTAACTGTTGCTTCCTGACCTACATACAGATTTCTCAAGAGGCAGGTCAGGTGGTCAGGTATTCCCATCTCTTTCAGAGTTTTCCACAGTTTATTGTGATCCACATAGTCAAAGGCTGTGGCATAGTCAATACAGCAGAAATAGATGTTTTTCTGGAACTCTCATGTTTTTTTGATGATCCAGCAGATGTTGGCAATTTGATCTCTGGTTCCTCTGCCTTTTCTAAAACCAGCTTGAACATCTGGAAGTTCACGGTTCATGTATTGTTGAAGCCTGGTTTGGAGAATTTTGAGCATAACTTCACTAGCATGTGAGATGAGTGCAACTGTGTAGTAGTTTGAGCATTCTTTGGCATTGCCTTTCTTAGGGACTGGAATGAAAACTGACCTTTTCCAGTCCCATGGCCACTGCTGAGTTTTCCAAATTTGCTGGCATACTGAGTGCAGCACTTTCACAGCATCATCTTTTAGGATTTGAAATAGCTCAGCTGGAATTCTATCACTTCCACTGGCTTTGTTCATAATGATGCTTCCTAAGGCCCACCTGACTTCACATTCCAGGATGAGTGATCACACCATCGTGATTATCTAGGTCATGAAGATCTTTTTTGTACAGTTCTTCTGTGTATTCTTGCCACCTCTTCTTAATATCTTCTGCTTCTGTTAGGTTCATGCCATTTCTGTCCTTTATTGAGTCCATCTTTGCATGAAATGTTCAAGGTCAGTTAAATTTACAAGGTCAGGTAAGGAGTTTGAATTTTATTCTCAAATATAATTAGGTATTAAGAATGATGTGACATGATTTGTATCTGAAAAAGACCACTCTGACGGCTGAGGAGGTTGAAAAAGAGCAGAAGCGGAGAGACTAGTTTGGAGGCAGGTGAAAGATGTTGAAAAGATCCTGATGCTGGGAAAGATTGAGAGCAGGAGGAGAAGAGGATGACAGAGGATGAGACGGTTGGGTGGCATGAGTCTGAGCAAGCTCCAGGAGTTGGTGATGGACAGGGAAGCCTGGCATGCTGCAGTCCATGGGATCACAAAAAGTAGGACAGGACTCTTTGAAAGATGAACTGAAATGAAAGATGTTGATGGACTAGCCTAGGGTTTTATAAGTCGAAATGGTGAGAAACAGCTGATTTGGGGATATAACTTGGAGAATAAAGCTGATAGGACTTGATAATGGATTAGATGTGGTGGCTGGTGCAGGGAAGAGGAGAGGGAAGAATTTATCAGGCGTGATGACTAGATTTTTGGTCTGAGCGTGTGGGTTGATGGCAGTGCCGTGAACTAACATGGGGGGAAACTGGGAGAACAGGTTTCAGGGGGGAGGGAGGCCCAGAGGGGGTCAATGGTTCTGTTTGGCCATGTTAAGTCTCAGACGCTTATTTCAAGTCAAGATATTGTGTTGGGACTTCCCTGGTGGTCTAGTGGTTAAGAATCTGCCTTCCAAATGAGAGGGTGTGAATTCAATCTCTGATCTGGGAAACTTAGATCCCACATGCTGCAGGGCAACTAAGCCTGTGCACTGCAATGAAAGACCCCATGTGCCACAGCAAAGACCCAGCACAGCTAAATACATATTTTTTAAAAAGATACTGTGCAGGCAATCAGCTAACGATAACTAAGGGTAAAAGTCCAGGCGAGAGGTATTTCAAAACAAGGGATAAGATGAGATCACCTGGTGACTAACAATAGATATAGGGGAAAACAGAGGGTGGAGGGTTAGATGCTAAATTACAATACAGGGAGACATGTGCTCTGAATAGGGCAACACCAGGTTAGCCGAGAGGGAGGCTGGTCAGGCAAAGTTCCATGGAAGAATTAAGATCTGGGCTCCCGGAATCCACAGAAAACCAAGCAGTGACATTATTTCAGTGAGGATGCTGGTACAGTGGGGGTAATTTGCAATTAGTCATACAGCTAGTGACCTAACTGTAACTTTGCATTTGAATTACTTTAAGTTAAATGTGCAGCTGAACCCAGGTCTCCCGCATTGCAGGCAGAATCTTTACCAGCTAAGCTATAAAGGGAAGCCCAAGAATACTGGAGTGGGTAGCCTATCCCTTCTCCAGGGGATCGTCCCGACCCAGGAATTGAACCCTGGTCTCCCGCATTGCGGGCGGATTCTTTACCGCCTGAGCTATCAGGGAAGCCCCTAAATGTGCAGCAGAGTACCTAATTAAGAGAGAGGAATGCCAGGCACCTAGGAGCGTAGACTTTGGAATCATTCTGCTTGGATTCAGATTCTGGACCTGCCACTTAGCAGGTGGGTGACTCCAGGTACGTTACTCATCATCTCTATACTTCAGTTTTCTTAGTTGAAATGGGCATACTACAAACAGCTATCTACTTATGGGCTACTAACTCTGTGCGTTCCTGGTACAAAGATTTTACATACACTATTCAACACCCCCCTCCAATAATCAATGAAGTTGAGTGCTATTATTATCCCCATTTTACTGATGAGAAACCGAGAGCACATTCATGGATTCCAAAAATATTTACTGTGCCTGCATTACACTCCAGGCATGTTTCTTCGTGCTAGGGGTGCATCACGCAACACAACAAAATATTTGCCTTTGTGCTGCTTGCCTGTGATTTGCTGAAGGGAGAAAGATGATAAACCCAATAAATATGTATTAATATAAGGGGACGACAAAGGATGAGATGGTTGGATGGCATCACCGACCCGACAGACCTGACTTTGAGTAAGCTCCGGGAGTTGGTGATGGACAGGGAAACCTGGCGTGCTGCAGTTATGGGGTCGCAGAGAGTCGGACACGACTGAGCGTCTGAATTGAACTGAACTGAAGTGCTATAGAAAACACAGCAGGGTAACGAAACTAGGGAAGTTGCTGTTGGGTATCCAGAGTCGATCTCCCTGAGAAGGCGACATCTGAGCAAGGATTTGAAGGAAGGATACCAGCCACCCAGGTATCAGGAACAGAGGACTCGGAGCGGAAACGGCAAGGGTGAAGGTAGACTCTCAGGTGAGAGCATTTGCTGAACATCCACCAACAACGTCGAGTGCAAGCCGAGAGGATGTGAGAGGTAGGGGCTGTGTATCCAGCTCTAGGAACTTTCACTTTTACTCATGAGATGAGGTGCCATTGGACAGATCTGCCTGGGGAAGTGATATAACTTGATCTTATATTTAGGCGCAAGGTCCATTAACTTGGCCTGGCGCTGAAGTCAGTGTTCTCAGGGTAAATGAATCCCAACACAAGGGTTCAGCCTCACAGCAAGCGCCCAGCAAGCGCCGGCCCACTATTCTGGTTGCCCACGACCCTTTCACTTAAACCTCGCCCCGACCTACCGCCCTCTAGCTCCCCAGTTCCAGGGAACGCCATCCACTCTGTTCCGTCTCCACGTAGCGCTTCCCCGGCTACGGATTGCGCAACTCAGGCAACCGGACTCCGCACGTAGGCGGAGCGACAGCGGGCGGCAGAAGGCCCCAGAAACAGACGCGACGAGGAAGCCCTGAGCGCCACCCCCCGCGACGCCCACTGACTGCGCCTGCGCACGCGCCTTCCAGACGGCCGACATTCCAGAGCGGCAATCCGCCCCGCCCCAATTCCGGGGCGGAGTTCTTAGCTGCGCCTGCGCACAGCCTCGCCGCACCCTACGCCTGCGCGCTCTGCCAGCCCGGCCCCATCCCCCCCAGGTTTTTAGGGTGGTGGGGGGAGGGCGCGTCTCGGTGAGTCACGATGATGGCGGCCACCAGCCTGTGGTGAGCTAGCGGATTCTCTGCTCCTCTCGCAGAGCCGCTCGCGCTTCCTGCAGACCCAGTGGCTGGTAACCGGGCGCGTGAGGAGGCACGGTGGCCCGAGCTCGCGAGGAAGGCCGCAGTCGCGGAGGGAGCGGCGCGGCCGGGGGCCAGGACTGGGGGAGAGGCCGCTCTGCAGGGCGAATGTGACAAGCCCCCACCCCCACCGCCTTCCTCCCGAGTGCGCGAGGAGCGCGGGCGACCCCGGGGCCCCGCCAGGCCACAGACCCCGCCCAACGGCCAGCACCCGGAGCAGGCCCGGCAGCGGAGCTGCGCGACGGCACCATGCTGGTCACCCTGAAGACCCTCCAGCAGCAGACCTTCAAGATCGACATCGACCCCGACGAGACGGTGAGTGCGGCGGAGAGCGCTGGGCCCGGCACGGATCGGGGGCGGTCCGCGCGAGGCGCCGGGAGGGCCTGGGCTGGGGGGAGGGGGGGTGGCGCGGCGGGACCGCGTGCGGGGCCCCGACCTCAGCTTCGAGCGGAGCCCGAGCGGGTAGAGCCGCGGTGCACCCGAGAGGGCATGGCGAGCGGGGGGTCTAGGGACCCGGGCGCTTATGAGGCCTGCGGGCTCCGGGCGCGGGTAGGGCCAGGGACCCGGCGGCGCGCGGCCCGCTGGACCTTCAGGGTGGGCTGCGGGCTTTGTGGCAGTTTTGTGGCAGGAGTGAGGGGAAGCAGTGGTCGGACAGCGAAGCCCGGGTAGCATATGGCGTGAAGCACGCGCTAGCGGGGCACCGGAGGCCTCGGCCTGGGCGCTCTCGGCGGAGGGGCCAGAGGGGGAGGGGACGTCAGGGTGGCCTGGGCGGTCGAGCTGGGCTCCCGGGTGTGGGTGCACAGATTGGGGAGGGAGAGGTAGGCGTCTCTACTGTCCCTGCGTGGACCTGGTTAGGCGCTGAAGTCTTGGAGGTGGTAACTGGAGATAATGAGCCTTAAATAAAATGGTATCGGGTTCTGTCAGCCGCAGAGTGTGAGTGTGAGGGGTGGTGAAAATGCATTTTTTTGCCCTCTTCGCCGCAGAATTGGTGACCCTTTTATTTGCATAAATCTCGAATCGTCTCGCTGCAGTTCTGCCGCCACCCAGCCCACACCCATACGTTGATTTCACTTCGAGGCCTCTTTGGTGGTGAAGATTGTTGCATTAGAGCCCTTCCAGTAAATCCAGGCGCAAACTTAACTCCACATTAGCGAGTTCCTTGTGTTAGAAGCCTTGAAATTGTAGGAGTCGAAAGTCTGCACCCAGCCCCCAAATAATACCCTTTCAGAGGAGAAATAAAGAAAATAAAAACTCTGAATCTCTTCTGTAAACTCTTGAGCGACTCAAACTTCACGTGTTAAATTCTCATGTCATCCTCTGTATTTGTGACCGCAAAAAGCCACTGTGTTGAAATCAGTACAACTTTATGCCAAGATCTAAAAATTGCCATTCAGTGTAAACTTACTTGTGTTCTGGAAGTGTGAGTCTGCACACCTTTGAGGTTGTCACAGTGCTGTATTGACAGCAGCAACTTTCTGCCCGTCTGTATTTTTCAAAATGATTGATTCTATTTTGGTGGAGAGGTCGGGGACCTTCAGTTCAGTCGCTCAGTCGTGTCCGACTCTTTGCGACCCTGTGGACCGCCGCACGCCAGGCCTCCCTGTCCATCACCACCTCCTGGAGCTTACACATTTAAACTCATGTCTATTGAGTCGGTGATGGCATTCAACCATCTCATCCTCTGTTGTCCGCCTTCAATCTTTCTTAGCATCAGGGTCTTTTCCAATGAGTCACTTCTTCGCATCCGGTGGCCAAGTATTGGAGTTTCAGCTTCAGCATCAGTCCATCCACTGATATTCAGGACTGATTTCCTTTAGGATGGACTGATTGGATCTCCTTGCAGTCCAAGGGACTCTCCAGAATCTTCTCCAACACCACAGCACCACAGTTCAAAAGCATCAATTCTTGGATGCTCAGCTTTCTTTACAGTCCAACTCTCACATCCATACATGACTACTTAGTGTTGGTTAATTAAATAAAAGTGAGCGCCCATTTGCAGCCTAACTTAATTTGCTATGTACCTGTTTTACAAAGATGTGAAGATTAAATAGTATTTAATTGGTGGTCAGTAAATGGAATCAATTATTAATCAGTGGGTACCTTTGAGTGAGGAAGTTTTCTACATTTTGAATTATTTAAAAATGTAGTTCCCAACCTTTTTAAAACTGTGGCACAAAATGATTTTAGTTCAAGGTAAATTAAGTAGCATGTGTAAACATGCTACATGATAAATTCTTAAAAGGTACAAGAGATACCAAGTTTTGATGAGAAATTGAGTGTCCTCAAAATTGACAACACCTGTGGCTTGCTATCACTAGCAAATCAAATTCTTCCTGGATATTCCTTTGCTGCTTGGTGTGTACTTAAAGGATGGAAGTGAAAATGCAGCTGTTTAATGTTTTCAGCCAAAATTTTCCATAAAGTATCTTCTAACTTTGGTTTTTTGTAATGTTGGTGCCGCAGGAACTTTATTCTGGTATTCACAATTAGTTCCAGAATTATTGAAGCCTAAAGGTTTGGGGTTTGTGTGTGTGTGTTGTATTTTTGTTTTATATTCCTGGGTTTATTGAAGATACGCAGTGACTTTACAGCTCCACTGAAATATTTATGTTCTACTAGATTTGTATTGCTCTTTAGGCATTTTATGCATTCATTATCTTAGAACCAATATTGTGTTTGTATAGATAATTAGCTATGTTGCTATTTGTGTTTGTATAGATAATTAGCTATTATCCAGTTTATTTATATAAAGTATAAACATATACTTCTGGAGGTAGATTTTCAGAAAGCTTAGTTACAGAGTTGCTTCTTCAGTTTTTTGTTGCTGTTTATATAAATGTAAAACCTAACATTGTTAGTCTGGGACAAGACATGAAAACATTCAGTCGGGATATTCTGGAACATTTATTTTAAAATGACTGGTGGGTTTTTACTTTAATGGACTTAAATTTCAGAAATGGGGGAATATTACAGCTATTTTAATTACATCTTTATAGTGATTTTAAAATTAACATTTATTTTTAATACTGTATTTGAGAGCATTCAAGTAAGAAAAGAAGCAATGAAAATTGTATAATTATCGGCAGACTGTAAGTATCCTGTTTGTGAAAACTAGATAGCCAAGGATATTAGGAAAATGAATCTAAAATAAAGGGGGGAAAATAGGATTTTAGTGAGACTTCTAGGGAGACTCACATAAAATTAACAGATTTTGGTCTCTGAAACCTCTATGTTGGCCACTCAGAGGTTTGATTTTTTTACCTAGAAGTAACTAAGGAACCTTAAATTACTTAAGTAACTTGAAATGGCTGGTGTAGAAACTTTTGTGAGCTTGAGAGGAGTAGGAGCAAAAATGAGTGAAAGAGGACTGAGAGATAAGAGGAATCATGGCAGTGATTCATTTGCTGAACAAGCAAATGTTCAGTAAGCTGGCTGGCAGAACCAGAGGAGTGCAGGGACGTGGGAGACAGTCTGGGTCTTTGGGGAGACATATTTACATCGCCTTGGCTCAGTCAGTGGCTATAGTGTAGGAGACAGACACAGTAGAAAAAGCAAGAGGATTTGTTTTTAAGGTGTTTGTATTTGCTTTAGTTTTTGAATGTTGAAAGTCCTCCCCTGCCTTTTTTTTTTTAAAAAAAACCAGTGAAACTTTCTTAACATTGCCATTTTGTACCATTTACTTGACCATTATCTTGCACTGCCTTTAGTGTTAACCATTACAGAAGTCTTTTTATTATTAAAATAATAATTCATCTCCTCTTATAAAGTAACTGGGGAAAAAAAACAGTGAGTTTGAGGTGAAACATTAAATGCACAACCTGAAATACTACATAAGTCACAACAAAGCTGTGTATACATTGGAAGTTTTTGATAAGACAGTTGCTGAAGTACAGTAGTTTTAATTAGACAGTATATTTGATGCTCTGTACAGTAATCTGCAAAAAATTATCTCACTTTGTGATACATTTGTGCTACAAAATACTGTTTGAGTACTAGTTTTGTATATAAGATTTACTAGCCATCATTTTTTAGCACATTGTTCCCATCATGGCTAATTGTATTATAATAGAGTTGTGCTGGAGTTAGTGCTTTATTATGGAAGTTTCCTAGATTATTAAAACCTTTAAGTAGTTAGTGTATTAAAATACTGTATCACAGGTTTCTTGGTATTTTGGTAAAATGAAATACTGGAAGTACCTAGGAAACCTGGTGATGGCTTGAATCAGACCTTTGCTGTTTCTGTGCTTAGCATACACGAAGCATTTAAGGGAGCTTTCCAGGTGGCTTAGTGGTAGAGAATCCATTTGCCACTGCAGCTGATGCGGGTTTGATCCCTGGGTCGGGAAGATCCCCTGGAGAAGGAAATGGCAACCCCCTCCAGTATCCTTGCCTGGGAAATCCCATGGACAGAGGAGCCTACAGTCCTTTGAGTTGCAAAGAGTTGGATATGACTTGGAGACTAGACAACAGCAACAAGAATTTGATAAAGATCTTTTGGATGAACTAAATACATTTTTTGGTGAATTGCCAAGTCAGTGATCCCTCAGTCTTTGCATGTTAATTTATTTACTGTTGGTTGAATACTTACTAAAAATATCAGGTCCTGCTGTTATGGTGCATACGTTGTAGTGGGATAAATCAGTTCAAAAACAAGTTTTCAAAACCAGATAATGGTAAGAGTTATGTAGAGAATTGAAATAGGGTGAGGTAATGTGATAGTGCATGACTAGGTGGCTACTTTTAAATTGACTGGTCACAGAAGACCTTTCTAAATAAGGTGACATTTAAACTGAGATCTGAATAATAAGCACTCAGAGATGGGGAAAGTGTTTTCTTTAGGGAAAGAGTTTCAAGAGTGTGCTTTGGGAATCAAAAAAGGCCTGTTTTGTTGTTCTAGGAGGTGAAGGGAAAGAGAGGTGAAGGATTAGAGTTAGGCAAGAGGCCAGGGCCTGTAGGGCTTTGTAATAAGCTGGAGCTTTTCATTGTAAAATAGGAAGCCTTTGGGGGCTTTTAAGTAGAGCAGAAAAAAATATTTCTTTTATGATTTGGAAAGGTTACTTTGCTGTCTGGAGAACAGATAGTACAAAGAGCAGTGAGGCTTGCACAACAGTTTCGGGAGTTGAAGCTTTGACCAGGGAAGTAAGAGTAGAGATATAAAGAGAGTTGGAGGGATTTGAGATATGGTTGGAAGGGTAGAGCTGATGATGAGTTGGAGTGGGGGAAGTTGAGAAATCAAAGATTAAGTGTAGGTTTTAGTTGTATAACTTGTGTGAATACCATGTTCTTTCCCGAGACATGGAGGGATGGGAGAGGAG